GAAGAGGGCCATGAAAATGATCAGGGGGATGGAACACCTCTCCTATGAAGAAAGGCTGAGAGAGTTGGGGTTGTTCAGCCTAGAGAAGAGAAGGCTTCGGGGAGACCTTATTGCAGCCTGTCAGTACTTAAAGGGGGCTCATACGAAAGATGGGGACAGACTTTTTAGCAGGGCCTGTTGCGACAGGACAAGGGGGAACGGCTTTAAACTAAAAGAGGGTAGGTTTAGATAAGGAAGAAATTTTTTACAGTGAAGGTGGTGAGACACTGGCACAGGTTGCCGAGAGAAGTTGTGGATGCCCCATCCCTGGAAGCGTTCAAGGTCAGGTCGGACAGGGCTCTGAGCAACCTGATCCAGTGAAAGATGTCCCCGTCCACGGCAGGGGGGTTGGACTAGATGACCTTTAGAGGTCCCTTCCAACCCAAATCATTATTTGATTCTATAAATGACATTAAAACAAAAGTGAACTGCATCAAGTAAAGCACATAAAAACTGTGAATATAACACAGAAAATAAAAATGGACTTAGTGAAGCCACAAACAGGACAACCTATATTTTACTGTCTATTAGAAATCCAATGCTAATAAACTAATGCCTTCTTGCATTAGCTCTGAGGAGCTAGCCTGCAGCATGGTAAGAAAAAAACTCCTCTTCAAACAACATTCCACTTTAACCAAGACAGTCCTCCAGAACAGAGCACTTCAGAAGCAACGGCTCTCACACCAAGATGCAAAAGCAAACTTTGCACTCCCTTAAAACAAAGGTATACAGCAGGCAGGTCTGAGCAACGTTTTTCTCCTCCTCAGAACATGGTATTGTCTGTCATCATTCACAAAAGCAGAAAATAAATACTCTGAGCAACAATTCCCAATTATACACTTCAGATGTAAGAGCCTTGCCACTGTCCTAAATGCTTAAAGACTACATGATTCTGCCTTGATCTCAAGCACCACCTGAAAAGCGAGACTTACTCTCATTTTGAAGCGTGTTAATGGCATCATCCATAATGCAATCAGGGGAAAATCCTGCAGTCTTGGATAACAAGCCCAGCAAGGAAGCGATCTTCAATCTTACAGAGGCATCGTTCTCCTGGAAGGAAACGGCAGACACCTTCATTCGCTTCCCAGTTTGAAGAGCGTAAAACACCACATACAGGCAGGACCAATACACAATTCAGCACGAGGGTCTGAATTTTACTGTCAGGCTACTCTTCCTCCTCCATATGTCCACAGCACACCCCACAGAAAATCAGCCATACTGGAATGTTTATGTGGCAGCTTCCAGCACGTTTCAAAATGAATCTCTTACTCCTAAGTCCTCAGAAGCACCTTCACACTGTTTGGAAATTTAAAGTTTAAATAAATCAGGTTTTCAAGATGCTGGAAAATTCAGTGTTGATCATGTTAGCATCTTTGCAAGTTTTTAATGAATGAATGGGAGGATTTTAGAAGAAGAATGGAGACTGATGGTCTCTTGACCTCTGCTAAGCAGCAAGGCGTGTGGGCTACAGAAAACAACTGTTTCTTTTAACAGTGGGGAGGAATCCTGCCCATCTTTTTTGAAAGAAAGAAACCCAACACAGCAAGGTAAAAAAAAATAAAAAAAAATAGAAGCATGTTAGCTGCATACATCTGCTCATTTAAGCAACAGCAAAAGCTGTCACAGGTGATAATTACAGAAATAAGCTTCACAAATTAGTATTCATTTTAAATACATTTTAAAAGTTCATGCATTTCAGAGTTATTATTTTGAGTCCTCTACAGACTTGTGCACACAAGACTTCTGGTCATAACTGGAAGCTCTCTCTTTCATCCTATTGCCAAGGATATCCGACACAAGGTAGAAAGACAAAAAGAAGTCTGGATTTCATGCTTAGATCAGCAATTGTGCAGCGCTGAGCACAAAGGTGCAGAAATATTACAATTACAAATATTACATCTTTCAACAGGCACAGAAATATTACGGTTACAACTTTTATGTCTTTCAACAGTGTTTAGGAGAGACTTCAGTGTCACACACACACCCCCCAAGTGACAAACGTGATACCCGTGGGAGTAATCTCCTTCTCAACTGAGCTGAGAAGCATTTTCTTTTCCAGGGCCAAAATTATGTGCTTGAACAACGGTTACTGTCATTGGGCTACTCACATCAGTGGTAGGACGCACAGATTTCCAGTGTAAAATACATTTGATCTTTACTCAGCATTTCTCACGGTTCTTTTAATAAAAGGACAACCCTCTCCACGAATACAGATGAAATCAATGATTTCAAAAAGGACACTTACAAAGGCACTTTTTAAAGCCTCATGAATAACGTCTGCAACGTTTTCATTACCGAATTACGAGCAGCCTCCCGCTCCAGAGGGCATACTGTCATTGCTACTCACATCAGTGGTAGGACGCACAGATTTCCACAGTGTAATACATTTGATCTTTACTCAGCATTTCTCACGGTTCTTTTAATAAAAGGACAACCCTCTCCACGAATACAGATGAAATCAATGATTTCAAAAAGGACACTTACAAAGGCACTTTTTAAAGCCTCATGAATAACGTCTGCAACGTTTTCATTACCGAATTACGAGCAGCCTCCCGCTCCAGAGGGCATTTTCTCCCTCCTTCTAATTGTTCACGAGCAAGAAATTAGAGAAACTTCTCTTTTTAGTTTACAGGTCTGATCGCCGTCTCCACAACCAAAACACCAGCAAGCGAAGGCGCCTCTAACCCCTCGTCCCAACCACCCTCAGGAGCCAGGAAGGGACTTTCAGAATCACCTCAGGCCACCGTTTGAGGACACACCGTTGCTGACAGCAACACCAGCTTACGGTACCCCGTCCCCGCTGCCGCTACAATGCTTTGCAGTCCTGTAGCTTTTTAAAAGCTGGTTTCTGTAGCAGGCTGTGCACTGAAAATGTGACCTTGTCTGTAGAGATTTAGGAGTCTTTCTTCTAATATAGGCTACAACACAAACTTCCAACACCAAATAACTTGCGTTATTTGATCAGGAACCACAGTTTTCTTCGCAGAAAGCTATGGAACTACACCAGGTTAGGTTCCTTAAGTTGTACACTCTTTTGAGCGGGGACTAGTCCAATGACGTAAGTAAGTTCCCATCCAAAAAAAAAAAAAAAAAAAAATCAAAACACACACGACAAACAAGGCAGAATACAAAAGCAGGTAGAATACAGAAATAGATAAAATGCAGCTTAGACTTTTAGTATATGTTCAAAACAAAATAGACTCAATTGTAAAAAAACAAAACAAAACAAAAAAAAACCAAAAAACCCCAGACTAGCACAAGGACTTTTATGAGAAATGTTTCAGCCTACAGTGCAGCGCTGTCAGCCGCTTTATCAAGTGAAGGATCAATTTCTAGATACTACAAAGCATATATTACTTCTGTTATTTATTTGTTTCTTTGCTGTTAAGAATTTTTTGTTGAAAAGTTTCTCAGAAGTGTCATTTTAAAAGTGCTTTGTCTGCAGCATAAGCAATAGCTAAAAAGTTTCTCCACTATCAGAGGAAATTAAGAGCAAGGTAAGGAAACATCAGTCAGGAATGATTCAGATAAAGTTGAGCCAGCTTTGGACAGCCGGGTTCCCTGGAAAACTTGTCATGTCTTTGTCCCTTGTAAATTTGAGGCTAGTCACGCAGGCCATCTGCAGGGGTAACATAGTCACATCCCTGTCACTGGCTCCTGAAACCATCAGCAAAGGCACCAAGTAACATGATCAGGAATCATTCAGGTAAAGGACTACAGTCACTCACTCTCCTCAGAGGGCTTCCAACAGCCCAGGCTATTGGCAACCGAATCAGGACCAGGAGCCTGTGACTCTCTATTCCACATCCAACCCCAAGAAAACAAGCCCAGAAGGAGGATTCTGGAAGCACGCTTGGCTCCCAGCTTCACCACCTTGTAATAATGCTCCAGCAGGATCCTGACAACCCCTTCCACGCTCTCCACTTCCACAGGCTTCCTGGCAAACTGGAGCAGGTACTGCAAGGCATCTGCAGGTGAGGTGGCTTTGCACAGGTCGACATGGAGCGCCGCTGACTTGCTGGGCTTGGTCAGCCGCAGCTTCTTAGCGGACAGGTCCTCGTGCTGCTGCTGCGGGCAGGGAGACATGGTTCAGAAACACAGAGCAAATCCTGGCCCACTCATTCCCAGAGTGAACACTGTCTCAGCACCAAGCCCAAGAAAGCTCCTGTGCCCCACGGCAGTTGCTAGCCTCTCCCTCATCTGTCTTAGGAAGGCACACAGCCTCAGCCCCCTGGGGCTGCTCCTGTCCTGTCTGACAGCCCCTATCCCCGGGAAACATTGCCTCTCCCCACCCCAGCCTGAGCCAAACCCTGCCTCTTCCAACGCCAGACAACCACCCCAGAGCAAACACGGCTTCTCCCATGCCCACCAGCCCAGAGCATCCACTACCGCGCCCCCATCCCGGGCTGGGG